CTAAAATGTGAGTGGTCTGGAGAGATTATTTAGAGGAGAAACCACTACGGTATCACGCTATGGTCTTTTCTTCTTCCTGATTTTCCTTGGGGGATTCGGTGAGAGGAGTAAGCAGAAGAGGTACCCAGACATAAGAGGAAACAGCATTTGGAGGTCTCATAAAAAGTAAAGGGGGTCCAGGAGCCCTTAATATTCCTGAAAGGCGTGTGACTCACTAATATCTGGTGAGTGCGGTTAATGTTGGTTTTTGCACTGGTGGATGGTGAAGGGATCAAAGGCACGGAAGAATCCAATGAAAATTTTTTTATAATTTGATTTATTTTGTCACGGGACTGTCAATTAATAATTTTTTGGGATTTTTGTGTCACTGGACTTATGAATTTTAATAATTTTTTATATTTATTTATATATATTTTATAATTTAATCCTTATTAGCACAAAAGTTTTTTTGTCACGGTCTTTAAGTTTGTTTAATAAGTTGAGTAATGCAATTGATTATGTGGGTTTGCGCTGGTTTTTATTGATATAAATCTCCTGTACTATGTCTGCAGTCCATTAGTTCAGAATTTTTTTTTCCTGTTTTCTACCTCTAAAACGTAGATGCGTCTTATGGTCAGGTGCGTCTTATGGAGCGAAAAATATGGTAACCTCTTCCCACCGCCCGTATATATGTGTTCCAAACATAAACAATGCTGTGCTGAGAGAGCCCTGCTACCGGCGGCTAATGGAAAGCTCCTGCTTTCCACCAGGAGCTTTTCAATCATGTGACCGCTGTGACAGCCAATCATGGCAGTCACAAAATCAAAAAGTCTGCCTCCACCTCCTGGCATAACGAACATCTTCAATTGCCGGGAGGCGATGACAGGAAGGGATTAAAGATCACAGTAGAGACTCTAAAATCTGGTATTCAGTCTGTATTACCAACTTGGAAACACCAGCTTTGGGTTTACATTGGAGGACTGACAGACTGCCAAGATCTGCTCTCATAGAAACAAGTAAGATTTCAGTTCCTTTGCTATGAATTTTGAAAGTAAATTTCACAAATGCTTATAGTTACAGAGGTGAATGAGGCCTTGTTTTAAAGTATGTTTATTGCTTGCTCTGACCAGGTAAATACTTTGGTGTGCAAAGGGCACAGGTTCACTTTATGTATCTATTATTTATCCAGTGACAAACATTGAAATCATGCTTATTGCCATGTGGGAATTATGCCATTTGTATGAAAAACTATAGATTTTTGCAGGATATTACTTTAAAATCTGTAGAATGGCAGTGTCACAACAGTGTCAAACATTGACCAAAAGATTGTGCTTTTTTTTTTTGTATCTTGGTCATGAAAACACAGGGTTTCAACTACTGTTAGGTAATGTGAAATGTAGTCTAAAATTAGTCTAAAATTAATGATATTATAAAAGTATTTACCCTGCAGTTGCACAACACTGAACCTAATATTATACAGGGCTGCAGCCCCACTTGACTCTACTTGGAAGCCTAATGGTTTAATAAACAAATGTGTTTTTTCTGCTCCAAGGACCATTGCCTGCTATACAAGGAAGACAAGAGCCAGAGGAGGTGGGAGGAATCAGCTAAGAGAAGACCATGAATGTGTGCTCTGATAGAATTTAATGTCAGATAATAGAGTTTACTTCACAGAGCATGAATGAGCTACAGTGTGAAATAAATGCACATTTCATTTCATTACTAGCTCTTCACAAGGCCTTTCTAACTTTACTGAGTGGTAAGCATTAAAAGGTAACATAATAATACCTTCATAAATGTTTTTTACAATGTATTAAGCATATTTTCCTGTCCTCTAACATTTTCTATTAGGCAAATAGAGATGGAAAATTTCTAAAAGGACTTTGAAGAATAACTTAATCAAAAAGCCAAATAAGCAGTAACATAAAATATGTCAAATGACAAAATTTAATTATATATGCCTTCACAGTACAACTCTCCCAATCTGTTGTCCTGACACCCATTGCATTTGTTTGAGGTACAGACTCTAGTCCAGTGCATAAAATGAACACATTTGAGTCTAAAGGTATCCATACAGATGAGATGAGTGTCTCCCAGTCCAGCTGTTTTTGGCTTTGATCATCCATGTTTATTGCTTGAGGATAGTCAGATGGTGCCTATATGTCAATCACCCTTTAAAGTCTGTGGGCAATTTTAACCTCTCCCAGGCAGAGAAGTCCTTTCATGGGACTTATTCGATATGACTGAGTTCTGCATCAACGTGGATTAAAGTGGAACTAAACTCTGTCAGTCACCAATTTGTAATCTTTATGCTTCCAGCAGTAGTAAATAGATATGAAAATATATTATATTTACTTGTTTTAAACTTTTTTGTTATATTGCTTCAGTTGCTTCTGTGTTTCTGGCCTAGGCCAGAATGATGTCATACACGCCAGGAGTTTTCATGTGCAATTGTTTTCATTCATTTGAAGGAGAGAAGCAGGAGCTTTCTCAACTAAGCACACCTTCCTGCCTGCATGCTTGAGCTAAGGTCAAATGGATTCCAGAAAATACATACTACATGAATCATCTGCTCTTTTTCAAGATGGCTGATGCTAGAAATGCTAGAGGGGTGATTTCTTAACAAAATAAAACATGGAAACATGATAGATGGGTGGTTTTGCTTTGAATCTTAAAAATTAATTAAATAGGGTTTTCAGTTTATGGTGCTCACATACAGCTTAGTTCTGTTGTGCTGTCGAAGCATTGTTAGTAGAACCCTATAGTATAAGACAAATTGCATATTCCCAGCATCTTCTTAAGGCATAAATTGCTTTAGGATGTCTAAATTTGAATAATCCTAAAGTACATCTGATCTCAAAATCATGTTTACTGTGCGTAATCAGTACTGAAAAATGTACTTTTTGTCTTAAATTGCTCTTGAAAAATAGTAGTGGCCTTCATGTGCCTAGGCACTCCTGTGCATTTAACTTCATAGCTGCACTTCTATGGAATGAGATCAAGCATTGCTGACAGTAACTGACAGCCTCACAAAATTTAGGAGAACATTAGGTGATGTCACTAGCATACTTCTCATTGTTCTCCTAAGGGCTTTCTGGAGAGAAAGTTTTACCTGAGGACCATGTTGGTTATACTTAATTTATTCTGCGGATCTACTCTTTATCCACCTTTTCTGTTGCTTTGTAACTATAACACCACCAGTCATCAGATCACCAGTCATTAGGATGCACTGGTGACACAAGGAAGAAAAGATTTTAGACTCATCCAAGTTTTGGTGCCAATCTGTGTTCATTGTTCTGGAAAAAAGGGTGAAATTTAATTTAAGGGATGAAAACACATGCTTGAGTAGCTTTGATGAGATACTTAAGGAATGTCGCCCTCTCCTTTTCTATGCTTTAGGGTTTGGTTGAAATTTACAGACTTTTTATAACTGTTAGAGCTGTAAAGAAGCCTTGCCGGAGTCTAAAACACTGATAGGAAGACAGCCACCTCTGGAAATTAGACTTAATGGTCCATTAAGCACATGTACCTAGTACATGGGGTGGATTGCACCCTTTTTTTCCAGTGTTGTATTTATCTTTGATAGATTTTAATTGCTGGTAAGGAAAAAAATAATAATAAAGATGTCTTCATTGGTTAACAGTGCTAGTGTTATTTTTAGGAATAGTAGGCCTGTGCCTATAAGTGGTAGAGGCATAGGGGTGGATTTTTCATGATTAGCTGTGAAGAAAGGAATTATTTTTCCATCCTCAGTAAAAATACCTTAATGTCTTACAACAAACCTGTAAACATTGCCACTATATACTAAGCAAGGTTGCAACCTTGCAAACCAAGAAAATATTCTGTCTATAAGGGTGATCCTAGGAGAGGGCTGCTATTTCGGGAACCTAAGCTTGGTTGCCCGCAGGCTACATTGATAGAAATCTGGCTCTGGTGGCCACATATCCGCTAATTTGTTGTGGGTGTTATGTTATCTTATATTTATATCTATAGTTCCATGTTGCAAAGCTTTCAGGCAGTTCTTTTATGTGGTTAAGAAACGAAGAGCTTGAAAACAACACACAACCAGCACCTACACATTTGCTTGCCTTGTTTTATAACCTTTGGACAATGACAGAATTATGTGTAGAACGTTTTGTACACATTTTAATACAGGTGCAATACATTTTATTGAATTGGTAACCCTAAATATAGAAAAGAGTAGCTCTTGGCTTTAGTTGGGATTTAGAAACTCTAATAACCAGTGGCCATTTAATTTGTAATAGTAACTCTTCTCTTCATTATGATGAGCACAGGTACCCATGCATAGAGCTATAATGAAAATAAAGTAATGAAGTTGCTTTAGAGTTAACTGGGTGAAAATTGTTGCATATATGGCTATTTCAAAACTGTCAATACCAGTTAGGCTTTTGGTGAAAACAACTGGGTACTGAATAGCCTAAGAGCTGCTCAATATATCATAGTTCAGCTCTAGTGATAATCCCCTAGAGACATGTGACCAGCATAGCCAGCAGGCTAGACAGACAGCTGACCTTCTGTATGAACAGTTTAAAACATAATTTCATCTTTGGGGAGGCTTTCAGAAATAAAAGCAGCATAGGTTAAAGCTGAACTCTAGCAATTTAGCCACTTTACTTTCTGTGCTGACATACTATGGGTTAAGTCCAATGAGATTCTTGCCACCTAGTGGACTTATCTATTTTATTTACAACTGATAATTTTACTAAGCATTGGGCAGTACAGCTATCACTACACTCTGCGCACTCTGACAGGCATGATGCTGCTTTCTCACAAAGCAGTCACTCTGCCACCCTTCCTGTCCACTGTCCATTTTGAAAGGTTTTTATTTTGAGAGTGGGCTCACATTATACTAAGCACTTGGTTATTGGAGGAGAGTAGAGGAGAGGAAGGGCGGGCAGAGGGAAAGTATAGTGATATAGCTGTATGCCCGACACTCAGTAAAAATGTAAATTGTAAATTAAAGAGATAAGTCCATGAGGTGGCATGCACCTCGTTGGACCCAGGGGTGGACTGACCATTTGGAAACTTGGGCACTGCTCGAGGGCCTGGGGTCAGTAGGGGGCCCCATGAGATGCCCCTGGTATCTTTTTCATAGGTTTTTTGAGTTTGGGCAAGGACACAGGGGCCCCATGATTCCCTATTGCCCGGGGGGACCCCATGAGTTGTCAGTCCGCCCCTGGTTGGACCTAACCCATAGTAAGCCAGCACATTTTAGAAAGTGGTTGAATTCTTGAAGTACGATCAGGTCCATAAATATTGGGACATTGACACAATTCTAACATTTTTGGCTCTATACATCACCACAATGGATTTGAAATGAAACGAACAAGATGTGTTTTAACTGCAGACTGTCAGCTTTAATTTGAGGGTATTTACATCCAAATCAGGTGAACGGTGTAGGAATTACAACAGTTTGCATATGTGCCTCCCACTTGTTAAGGGACCAAAAGTAATGGGACAGAATAATAATCATAAATCAAACTTTCACTTTGTAGTACTTGGTTACAAATCCTTTGCAGTAAATTACAGCCTGAAGTCTGGAACGCATAGACATCACCAGACGCTGGGTTTCATCCCTGGTGATGCTCTGCCAGGCCTCTACTGCAACTGTCTTCAGTTCCTGCTTGTTCTTGGGGCATTTTCCCTTCAGTTTTGTCTTCAGCAAGTGAAATGCATGCTCAATCGGATTCAGGTCAGGTGATTGACTTGGCCATTGCATAACATTCCACTTCTTTCCCTTAAAAAACTCTTTGGTTGCTTTTGCAGTATGCTTTGGGTCATTGTCCATCTGCACTGTGAAGCGGCGTCCAATGAGTTCTGAAGCATTTGGCTGAATATGAGCAGATAATATTGCCTGAAACACTTCAGAATTCATCCTGCTGCTTTTGTCAGCAGTCACATCATCAATAAATACAAGAGAACCAGTTCCATTGGCAGCCATACATGCCCACGCCATGACACTACCACCACCATGCTTCACTGATGAGGTGGTATGCTTAGGATCATGAGCAGTTCCTTTCCTTCTCCATACTCTTCTCTTCCCATCACTCTGGTACAAGTTGATCTTGGTCTCATCTGTCCATAGGATGTTCTTCCAGAACTGTGAAGGCTTTTTTAGATGTCGTTTGGCAAACTCTAATCTGGCCTTTCTGTTTTTGAGGCTCACCAATGGTTTGCATCTTGTGGTGAACCCTCTGTATTCACTCTGGTGAAGTCTTCTCTTGATTGTTGACTTTGACACACATACACCTAACTCCTGGAGAGTGTTCTTGATCTGGCCAACTGTTGTGAAGGGTGTTTTCTTCACCAGGGAAAGAATTCTTCGGTCATCCACCACAGTTGTTTTCCGTGGTCTTCCGGGTCTTTTGGTGTTGCTGAGCTCACCGGTGCGTTCCTTCTTTTTAAGAATGTTCCAAACAGTTGTTTTGGCCATGCCTAATGTTTTTGCTATCTCTCTGATGAGTTTGTTTTGTTTTTTCAGCCTAATGATGGCTTGCTTCGCTGCTAGTGACAGCTCTTTGGATCTCATCTTGAGAGTTGACAGCAACAGATTCCAAATGCAAATAGCACACTTGAAATGAACTCTGGACCTTTTATCTGCTCATTGTAATTGGGATAATGAGGGAATAACACACACCTGGCCATGGAACAGCTGAAAAGCCAATTGTCCCATTACTTTTGGTCCCTTAACAAGTGGGAGGCACACATGCAAACTGTTGTAATTCCTACACCGTTCACCTGATTTGGATGTAAATACCCTCAAATTAAAGCTGACAGTCTGCAGTTAAAGCACATCTTGTTCGTTTCATTTCAAATCCATTGTGGTGGTGTATAGAGCCAAAAATGTTAGAATTGTGTCAATGTCCCAATATTTATGGACCTGACTGTATCTGTCTCTTTATTAGTTTTGCATATTCTATGTTTCTGATTGATTCCTATTCACTACTATCATCTGTTTAAAAAATGGTTCGGTGAAGAGGTTATCTGCACTTTCTGATTTGTTACCGATGCCCAAACACCTTTCCTCCTTATTTATCTCCATTGTTACATAATATACAGCCTTGACAGTATGTGAAACACGAATGATGGGATGTCTTATAGCAACCTACCAGGTTTGGACATTGAGGTGGTCAGGAGGATCTATAATTACTGATTCTGGTGCTGATAAGGGTTTTGAAAAAGCAAAATGTATAAAAGGAAGCAGTACTGGAAACATACTTTTGTTGAGCAGAGCTCAACAAAAGCAGATAATTTGTAATTTGAAAATAGATATGACAATAAAGTGTCATTGACAAGAGAACCACAGAGCCTCACAAAGCATTCTCTAAAGCCCACAGTGAAATACAAGGCTGGGCTTAGGATGCAATATATCAGTTTTTCCTTAGCCACATGCAGTGACACTCTTTTACACTGAATAATATGGAACATCAGATGATTTCCCCATCAGATAACCTGTGGCTACATTTCACCACAGCGTGATTAGAGAATTGTCTTTCTCGAGGAAGCTGCCATGCTCATCACAGCTCTTGAAATTGTATATTCTGAGATTGAAAAGTAATAATATAAATGACAAGTTATTTGTACTCACTCAATACTGGCTGATGTGATTAACCTTCATTTCATTTCCAAGACCTTATTATACAAGCAAGTTAATCTACGGCTCTATGCATACACTCTCTAACTTTAACCCTTGACTTCCAGGTGCTGAATATATGCATTATATAAATAATAAAACAAGTTTAGTTAGCTTTTGACGCTAAAAACACCATAATGCTTAGCTAACCACTAAGTTCAAATACAAATATTGCTGTATATGTTTTGTCCTATTATTATTATTATTATTCTGTTTTTACATTTTCTAGAAGAGTATTTACTGTATATATATATATATATATATATATATATATTATAATATATAAGGTAGTACAGGGTACATAGCACTTTCCAAGTAGTTTCCTACCTCAGAAAGAGTTCACAATCTAAACCCTCTACCACTCTTGTAAAGACCCATACTTACTCTACCCCTACCTGAATCCTAATGTAACTGTGGAAGAATTTCAGCTGGCAGCACATGTAGGTTGTAAGCTTTAATGAGTAAGACCCGATGATTCCTCCTGTGTTGAATTGTATTGCAATTGTACTGTCTGCCCTCATATTGTAAAGCGCTGCACAAACTGTTGGTGCTATATAAATCCTGTATAATAAAAATAATAATATTATACAGGATTTATATCCAGCTTTCTTGCACATTTTTTCAAATTTACTTTGGAGTTTGTCATGTTCCAGCAATAGCAGCTCAGCCCTCTCTTCTGTTACTGTAGCTGCCATCTTCTTTATAGCTTCTTTTGCTCTTCTCATCTTCCTTCTTCAGCGAATGGGCTGTCAAATCCAATGCAAGGACGATGTAGTTACATTATCCTGGTACTCGGCTACAGTCTTTGGGATCTTACAGGGTGTACATAAAATTGCTAGTACAGTAAAATTGCCAGCGAACGATTTTTCGGCAGCGTAGGCAACAGACATGCAAAGTTTTTGCTGCCAAAACTATGTCCGCTAAAATTAGAGTAGTGCATATGACAGCAAATGACGTGCACCGCTCATTCCAAACAAACAGAGGTGAGGGGGAAAAGAAGTTTGGCAGCTCATGAAGGAAATACAAGGAGGCAGAAAAGTAAGAAATAATTACTCGAAGACTTGATTACAGATCAGGTAAGTATTGGACCTAAATGGATTATTTTTGAAGAAAAGAAATATCATTTAGGGCTGGTTCACACCAGATGCAGTCCAGTGTGTTTTCATTCTGCATCATAAACACTTGGACAGTGTATTCCAATGGCCCTAGTTCCCACCAGTGCAGTGGGTTCCAGTGCAATCAACAAAAGTAGAATATGTTGTATTTTTTCTGTATGTACAACATCTAGAACATGGCAAACCCCATTGAAAATGCACAGGAATGCACATGTTCTGAGATGAAGATAAAATAGTGGAAAAAATACACCGGAATGCATCAAAAACACACCAGAGTGCATCAAAAGTGTGCATGCATGAACACATCTGGAACACAGAAATTGTGGCATGAACCGGCCCTAGATATCATTTTATCTCTTAGCCTCCCTGCAACACATTAAAGTTTATTCCTAACTTAACCCTTTACACCTGACCCTAATACATTGTCCCCCAACAATTAACGTAAAACTTATTCCCTTAAAACCCTGACCTTAAAATAAGCTAACCTAAGCTTTAAAGAGTGTGTAAACCCTACATTTCATATTTCTGATATGTGCCTGCTGCACCATGTACTTGCATGAAAAAGTATCCTGTTCTCTTTATATTTCCTCCTTTGTGTGAAATCCCTGGTGTTCCTGGCAGTCCCTCTGCTTTCCTATTAAAAACTGACCACACTAGGAACTAAGCCTGTTCTCCTCCCAGGGGCGGACTGACCATTTGGAAACTCGGGCACTGCCCGAGGGCCCAGGGGTAAGTAGGGGGCCCCATGAGATGCCCCTGGAACCTTTTTCATAGGCTTTTTTGAGTTTGAGCAAGGACACAGGGGCCCCATGATCCCCTATTGCCCGGGGGCCCCATGAGTTGTCAGTCCGCCCCTGTCTCCTCCAATGATCAGTCTTAACCCCCCCCACCCCACACACACACATGCGCACACATTTCTTCTCCCCCAACATTCTCCCCACATTCCCTCTCAGCTGCATAAGGAGCTGAGAGGGAATGTGATCACTTACGATTACAAAACAGGGAGAAATGTATTTATAATTTTTTTTATATCTATACATATATGTTTTCCCTTCATTTAGGTTTTAAGCCTCAATCACAAAAACTGATGTAGACTGACGCACAGATTTCACTCGCAGAGACATCAGTTTTCAAGTGTGCATCCATACGTTTTATACACATTGCAGGTTCCTACACAGAAAAAATCTGCATGTGATATTAGTGTGAACAGGGAACATAGAGAACAATTGATTTCATTGTGCTCTTGCAGAAGACATGTAGAAAAACTGATGTCTTTGCACCATGGTGTTAACAAGGCCTTAAACTGTGCGGGTTGTTTTACAAGGTAAGGGTTTACATATACTTTAACTGAATTCCTAACAGAAAAGTAACTCCTGCTGCAGAATACATACTTTACATCCTTCCCCATCATCAGCTATTCCTCATGCTTAAATGAAAAGTAGTAGTGCCGAGGTGATGCCACCAATCTGAGTTTCAATACAAAAACGTGCTAGCTCTTTAACCAAAAATGCTCAGTATATACACTGAGAGAGTTTAAAAAAAAAAAAAAAAAGAGATCTGGTTACTCTGCCCATTGTCCTGGTGATCACTGTCACCTGGATAGAAAAACATAAAAAATCCCAAATTTTTGGTTGTGCTCAGAACAGGTCTAGAGGGAAAATCATAGAAAAGTATGGGATGCCTGCGTTTTGGTGCAGGCGAAAGGCATTGGTGCACTGTCCAGCCTGTAAGACTCTATAAGAGGCTAAAAGCTGCTGCACCTGGATAGGGATGGACAGTGCACTGGGTGGTTCCTAATGTTTAGGGCAGTATACGCCCAGGGATGAGTGTCTGTAATGAAGACTGCTTGTGCTCCATGCAATCATCCCTGGGACAAACTGCCCTAAACATGAGTACCACTAGGTGTACTCTGCAGGCCTAAACAGCTTTCCGCTCTCAGAGTTTTACAGGCTGCCAGCAACGTAGCAGTATGATGTGTCTGTGACTTTTGCCTGCACAAAAACGCTAGGATTCCTTGCAGCGGGGCTAAGCACCCAGTGTGTATGAGGCCTAACACTTCTGCTCAAAGTACTAAAAAACCACTGCAGCATGAGACACAGCTGTTGCAAATTTCCCACTACCCTCTTAAGGGTTGCTTAGTAATTTTTGGTTCCCTGTCAATCTGAACCTCTGTTGAAAGCCCAACCTCTGCTGACATGACCGTGCTCTGGTGACCCAGATAACTCCCACCTGCAAAATGGACTCACACACAGAGTAGTATAAACCAAAAATGAAGTTTATATTGGATTTGGAGGCAACTGAGTCAAGAATAACAAAATAACAATGGTATTGGCAGCGAATCTGATCACTCTTGGCAGTGAGCAGGAATGACTATCAATAAAAAGATAAGCTGATTCTGGGTCCTCATAACTAGAAAATAAGGATTAAAATATGAAATACAGAGAATTCTCAGTTATAATTGGCAGAGTCCCCTTTACGAGCTATATAATGTCTTCTGCACGCTTGTTGGGGCCCAATTGATGTGGAGTTGCATCAAGGCGTGGATGGTAGTTCCTTAGAGTGGTCACATCAATGCTAGTGAAGGAAAAGGAGAAGATTTAACACTTCCCTGATTTATGGTAAAGAATTAGTGCAAGGTTCCCTTTAAGGGCTCTAACCTTGAACTGCACTTGAAGTAGTACATAGCAACCAATTGAGATAAATGTCTATGGGCAAAGACAATTCAATCTGAATGTCAAAGGCAGAAGATGGACAGTAGTAGGAATCCTGCTCTGCAGAGAGGAAACTGGACTTGTTGATTTAGTTTGGCACCGCTGTAACTTGGTCTGTGACTGTATGTCCTGTGGTCAGCTTGAACAATACCTGCACTGCAGATATATCCCAACAATGGCTCTGGTTTTATTAGGCTGCAAACTGGAGCAACTGTATGTGATGTTCACAACTATGAGCAAGCAAATAACTGAGATGACGAACTATCCATGTTCACTTTCACTATGTTAGTGGATGCATGGGTCTCTCTCACCCAATCAATGTCATTCCGTCTTTCACAATGGATAGGGACAGTCCACAGACCCTCTGGTTCAGTTCTGTCTCCTGATGTCAGAGTGGCAGAGTAGCAGGGCCGGGTGGTCAGTAAGTTTTTTCTGCTCTCTCTCTCTCTCTCAATCCTGGATTTGCGGCCTATTTAAGCACTTCAGCCATCAGCACCACTTCCTTTTACACTTCAGTCTCCCTCAGCACTCTCCTGGCCAATCTCCTGGGCTTTGATATCTACAGTCATGGCCGAAATTGTTGGCACCCTTGATATTTCTCCAGGAAATCATGTATTTCTCACGAAACGCATTGCATTAACACATGTTTTGCTATACACATGTTTATTTCCCTTTGTGTGTATTGGGACAAAACAAAAAAAAGGGAGGAAAGAAAGCAAATTCGACATAATGTCACACAAACCTCCAAAAATGGGGCCTGGACAAAAGTATTGGCACCCTTTCACAACTGCGGATAAATAAGAATGTTACAAGCATGTGATGCTCCTGTAAACTCACCTGGGGCAAGTAACAGGTGTGGGCAATATAGAAATCACACCTGAAAGCAGATAAAAAGGAGAGACGTTCACTTAACCTTTGCATTGTGTGTCTGTCTGTGCCACACTAAGCATGGACAACAGAAAGAGGAGACGAGAACTGTCTGAGGACCTGAGAACCAAAATTGTGGCAAAATATCAACAATCTCAAGGTTACAAGTCCATCTCCAGAGAACTAGATTTGCCTTTGTCCACAGTGCGCAACATTATCAAGAAGTTTGCAACCCATGGCACTGTAGCTAATCTCCCTGGTCGTGGACGGATGAGGAAAATTGATGAAAGATTGCAACGCAGAATAGTCCGATGGTGGAATAAGCAGCCCCAAACATGTTCCAAAGACATTCAAGCTGTCCTGCAGGCTCAGGGAGCATCAGTGTCAGCGCGAACTATCCGTCGACATTTAAATGAAATGAAACGCTATGGCAGGAGACCCAGGAGGACCCCACTGCTGACACAGAGACATAAAAAAGCAAGACTACAGTTTGCCAAAATGTACTTGAGTAAGCCAAAAAGCCTTCTGGGGAAAACGTCTTGTGGACAGATGAGACCAAGATAGAGCTTTTCGGTAAAGCACATCATTCTACTGTTACCGAAAACGGAATGAGGCCTACAAAGAACAAAACACAGTACCTACGGTAAAATATGGTGGAGGTTCAATGATGTTTTGGGGTTGTTTTGCTGCCTCTGGCACTGGGTGCCTTGACTGTGTGCAAGGCATCATGAAATCTGAGGATTACCAAAGGATTTTGGGTCGCACTGTAGGGCCCAGTGTCAGAAAGCTGGGTTTGCGTCCAAGATCCTGGGTCTTCCAGCAGGACAATGACCCCAAACATACGTCAAAAAGCACTCAGAAATGGATGGCAAAGAAGCGCTGGAGAGTTCTGAAGTGGCCAGCAATGAGCCCAGATCTAAATCCCATTGAACACCTGTGGAGAGATCTTAAAATTGCTGTTGGGAAAAGGTGTCCTTCTCCAATAAGAGAGACCTGGAGCTGTTTGCAAAAGGAAGAGTGGTCCAAAATTCCGGGTGAGAGGTGTCAGAAGCTTATTGATGGTTATAGGAAGCGACTGATTTCAGTTATGTTTTCCAAAGGGTGTGCAACCAAATATTAAGTTAAGGGTGCCAATACTTTTGTCCAGCCCATTTTTGGGGTTTTGTGTGACATTATGTCATATTTTGCTTTTCTGCCTCTGTTTTATATTTGTTCCAATACATACAAAGGGAATAAACATGTGTATAGCAAAACATGTGTTAATGCAATACCTTTTTTTGTGTGTGAAATACTTGATTTTCAGGAAAAATATCAAGGGTGCCAACAATTTCGGCCATGACTGTATATGCCCCGTCCACACGCTACCTCTCCTGGGAAATGTAGTCCCAGACACTCTGTTTATCAGCCAAGTCCTGCTATTCAGAAATACAATTTCCAGAGGGCTGTTCTATCACTGTGAGTAACCCTGCATAGCAGGCCACCGCCATCTAATATCCACTTTAAGGTATTGCAAGTAATAACATTTCAGTGGGTTAAACAAGCACAAATGCTTGGCTCAACAAAGCAGGTGTCTATTGCATTCAAAAGCATAAAACTGTTCACAGAACAAAACAAAATGATTGCTAGATCAGGGGACAGTCACCTTCTGTCTATGGCCATCCTTAGAGAGGTCACTTGTAAGTTTGTGCTTATGTGTTCTTGGTTTAGGTACATCACAATAGTGCATATTATAACCACAAGGCATTTAAACTTTAGCAAAGTATTACAGGGAGAAGTGAGTATGTGCAAAATATAGTAGTTCTCGGAAACCTCAAAAATCAGACTAACTAGTTGCCGTTGTTATATCATCATCTGGATAAAGAAATCCTTCAAAGACATGTTGCGTTGGTTTATTTCACATGACACATGTTTGTGTTGCTTTACTAAACATGTCTGGTAGCTGAAAAGAAACCTGGATGATAGAAGTATAGAAACCAGCTTTGTTGAGGCACACAAGGGGTCAAAAATCACTTGACATTTGACTTTTTCTGCTATGGAAATGTTCTAACCTGGCCCACTGTCTCCCATTATCTGAGTGTGCACTGTAAGGTCAGGCAGCAACTGTCAGGCTTAAGGTGACTACTGACCCTCTGACAAAAGTGCAACACACTTGCAGGTAGTTATTGCCTCTCACAGAGATCATAGTGCTCTCATTGACAATACCTTCATCTACTTTTCCCTCAAGAAGGGCAGCTGAGCCAGCTGTAAGAATATATTTCA